GGTGGTCACATGGGCCGCGGCCCATGGCGGCAAATCTAAGGGGCGGCAAAAATTTGCAATTTTTTAAAGTGTAGGTATAAAAAAAAAATCGGATTTATAAAAACAAAATTACAAACGAGAAAAGACGACAAAATCTCTCATTTTCTGAGAGTATAGTAATTTCTAATTTTGTCGTCTCTTAGTGATACAAGAGACAGCACCTTCAATAAGTCGAGTTAGGAGAGCGACCAAACACGCAAGTTGGCCTGGAACGGCGCGACTTAGTGAGAAATGATAACGAGGACTTGAGATAAAAAGGAAAAGCCCTCAACGCGGTGATCGGCATGTAACACATATTAGCGCCTACAAGACTGCACGAATACTTCACGCATTGCATCAAACACAGTGCGGTCATTGCGGTCAGCGTGAGACGCATAGCGCCCACAAGACTGCGTGAATACTTCACGCGTTGCGTCCAACACAGTGCGTTCAGCAGTGGTCGGCGTGAAACGCATAGCGCCTACAAGACTGTCGGAATACTTCACGCACTGCGCGAAACACGGTGCGGTCTACGCGGCGCAGCGGCGGAAGTCAAAATTATTAAACCAAATTTATGTTTGTCCTTTCATAATTTTTTCGTTCATTTTTCATCAATGGAAGGCCTTGTCGCACCCAGAGATAGGTTTACGGAACTTAACTTTCGCGCAAAGTTCCGTGAACTTTTGCTAGTAACGTTGACAGGGCTTTCCCAAAGAATGTGTTCAACGCGAGTAAATGCGTCTTATACACCCCTTCCCCGCTGACACGTTCATTTGATGGTTTTTATCGAGTTTCAAAACGAATGAGAAGGGGGCGGCACATGGGCGGCAAGTAGGTGAATCCGGCCATGTTAGCATCACTGCAATACTTCTGGTTCCTTTTTGCAAAATGCAATCCAATTCACGTCTGATAAATCATTGACAGTTGCAATTCTCGCGATTCAATCACCCGACACATGCATAAATATATTTCAATTGTTGTTTTGACTATTCTTTTCCCGAGTGCATACCGATTGCTTACTACATCTGGTGAAATAATCAAACCAGCTGATTTTTTATTCCCCACCTCACTACTTTTTCCCTGAGAAGGTATATCCTAGACTGCCGAAGACAAGAATCATCGGGGGGGGGGGGGAGGGATTTCTTCATGTAAAATTGACAAGAACTGCACTCACAATCTATTGCTGGATGAATCTTGGCCAACGTTTGCATCCATGCACTTTACGACCCACCTCCCGAGATGAGTCGAAAATTTTGGATGTGATCAGCAATGCTGCCAGCATGAAAACCAAATGGGGGGCTTGGAGGAAAAGGCGCATAAATGCAGTTTTTGCTATTTCGAGAAATCCGTGTTTGAAGTTTCGAAATTGCATGGATCCTTATGGCGGAAAGAAACGTCAAACTGACTTTCTGATATTTAAAAATGGCAATTTGAGACCGAAGTTTTCGCAGGGTATGCATCAAGACAAGTTTCACTTGAAATCATTAATATCTCAACTTTTTAAAATCTGCACTTATGTACCTTGTCCTATAAGCCCCTCAATCCATGGAAATTAGTGGTTAGCATAGAGTGATTTCAGGCTTTAAGATGTTCTCCTCGTTTAGTCTCTAGATCCCTAGATCTTGTTATTTCTTTTAATATGCTGTTAAATGGGTAAGATGCGCTGGTCATCATCGTCGCCCGGAGAGTTTTTGGGTTTGTGGCGGCTAGCCACCACTCCGCCAACCAGCAGTCCAGCACACACTGGAAAAAAAAAACATATTGGATCTAGAGTCTAGAGCTCTTGCAAAACATTCACAAGAAAAAATACTCTTGATTCAATCTGATTTTTGCTTGAATCAAATAAACGAAATCCGCTTAAATTAAGAGGCTTGGTTCTTGATTTAAGCTAGATTCTGATTGAATCAAGAGTACTTTTTCTTTTCGATGTTTTTAAGAGTCTAGACTCTAGATACAATGTGTTTTTTTTTTTTCAGTGCAGCTCATTGGTTGTAGCTCGACACTGTCTTGGCTACACAAGCCGTGAGTTCATCACTCCAGCTCACTCCGCGCCCGTCAGTCACACGGGACTCACATTGCACAGCACTCAGCGGACCTCATGCAGCCGGCCGGCTTGGCCCTTTCCAACGGCCTTTCTTTGGGCCACCACTCGATGAGCACCTCTCATGGCTTAGTCCATGGTTTTGTTGTAATAGAGGTCGGCAGGAAGTTAAATACTTGAATCAAATCCACTCGCAAAAATTTGCCTATCGGTATCAGCATATAGCCTGTGTCTCACTATCAAAATACTCCATCAAAATGTCAAGATCAAGTGCTGTGATTGGTCCAAGACATCGAATAAGCCAATCCAAACACTTGACCTTGATATTTTGATGATTAGCTTTGATAGTATGACACAGGCAGATTTCTGCACCTGTTCGAGTTTTTCTCCACTTACATATTAGATGCATTTTACGGCCCTCTTATTGGTCAGCGCCTCAGCGGTGCAAGTCGACACAATCGATGAGCTTCTTTAGCCTGCGTCACACTACCAAAGCTAGCCATCAAAATATCAAGGTCAGGTGTTGTGATTAGCTTATTCGATGGCTTGGATCAATCACAGCACTTGACCTTGACATTTTGATGAATTATATTGATAATAATGTGACACAGGCTTTTGAAGCCTCTGGTTTGTAAGTAGAGAGGAACTTTTACTTCTCGTCATTTTTGGCAGAAAACGCCTCTGGACGAATTCGGCATTTTTGCGGCTGTTAATCACGATGACTCGTTTTCTTTTTCTAAAACTGAGGTAGAGCTGTAAAATGGGTTTTATGTTTTATTGAGAAGATGACGAAGGCGTGGAAGGAGGCAGGTACAAGTGCGATAGACCCGGATGTAAGGGGGCTTTTGACACCAAAGACAAGCTCCGAAAGCACGTAAGAAATCACGAGGTGGTCAATGAAGGTAGAACAATCTGCTCCACTTGCAAGAAATCATTTTCCTCAAGGTCAGTCAAGAGGCGCCATCAAGCAACAGCAAGGCACGCCCAAAGTGAGTGTACTTCAGATACGCGTTTCAAACTTACACAGTCGTGTACACTGCCGCGCTGAGGAAGAACGACGAATGAACATTCGAGACTTGCCAAATTTCTTTTGATAAAATGTGTATGTTTGAGGAAAGTTATGAATATTTTTCCTTGAAATTTTCAGGAACTATAGATGAAATTGCGAACAAAATTATCTAAAAAATTGGAAGGAAAATGTTCATCAGCTTAACCAGGAAATTTGTGTTTTATCAAAGGGAATTTGGCAACGCATGCAGGTTCATACGACGTTTTTCCGTAGCTCGGCAGTACAACAATGCTGCCTTGCGAAGGAAGGACGCTGTATGAACATTCGAGAGGTGCCAAATTTTCTTCGATAAAATGTTTATTTTTGAAGAAAGTTATGAATGTTGTCCCTTGAAATTTTCAGGAACTATAGATGAAATTGCGAACAAAAAAATCTAAAAAATTGGAAGGGAAATATTCATAAGTTGACCAGGAAATACGCGTTTTATCAGAGAAAATCAAGCAATATCTGAAGGCTCACACGAAGGTTTTCCATAGCACGGCAGAACAATGGTGCCGTGCCTAAGAAAAATGCCGGATGAACCTTCGTCAGTTGCCGTATTTCCTGTTACTAAATACGAATTTTCAGAAAAACTGGTGGATGTTTTCCGTTCATTTTTTCAGAGAATTTTCTTTGTATTTAGATATAAATTATCTGAAAAAAATAAAAGAAAAAGATTAATAACTCTCTTTCAAAATAAATATTTCATTGGAGAAAATGTGGCAACCCTCAAATGTTCTTACGCGGCCTCTTTCCGAAGCACGGCGGAATGGGCCACTAAATCTTGAGCTTTTTATTTAATATTTTGGAAATACCAGCGGGCTGATTATTGAAATTGATAGACAAAGCGATAGACAAAGAAGACATAGGGAGTATAGAGCGATCCTATTGGCTGAAATTCATGGTTTCTATAGACTATGGGAGAAAATGATCGACTGACTATAGGGTCTCTCGTGGTTTGTTGTAAGTTAGTCTATTTTCCTACCTCCCTTGTCTATTGCAACTTTTCGCTTCCGCCAATAGGATCCCTCAGTATCCTTCTCGTCTTCTTAGTCTAGGTATAGCTTTGTCTATCAATTTCAATAATCGACCCGCAGTTGAGTAGATTACGTGGTGATTTATTGCGTATTTTGGAGCAAAAATCTTGGACATGCCCGCTTTTAAAAAGCTGGAAGCCTCGAAGGAATTTAAATCATGCCAAAATCGCGTGAAAATCCTGGCAGTGAAGTACCTACTGCGGCAGTCAAATCACCATCCTATCTCATTTTCCACTGCTGTATGCTACTTTATTTCAATGGGCAATTGTTGATTGTTTACCATCGATAACATGAATCAGAACATCATTTTTGCACTTACTGCTCTCTTCGCATCACATCAGCCATGCTATCCTGTTCCCAAATACTTTCACGTTCTGTCTTCTCTTTTTCAAGCACCATCACCACCGAGAGAACCAAAACAATTCCAATGCCCTTTATGCGACAGAAGTTATGACAGACAAAATACTCTGAATGATCACTTGAAATCCCACGAAGGAAAAGCTGATTGCCCTTATTGCCCCAAAAGTTACAGAAGACCGGAAGGAATGCACGAACATGTAAGAAAACAACACCCCGACAAGCCCGACCCAAGGGATAAACACAATCCAAATTAAAAACCACCAATATCATTTCCTAAGGAACACTGTGATAACCATGATGGGTAAGTTGTGCTGGTCACAGAATCGTGTTTTGATGCTGATGTAGCCTGGCTAAAAATAATTGGATCTTTACGAACGGGAACTTTCTACGTTCAATATTACCTGAGAAAATGTATTTTGAAAAGTCGCGTTTTTGAAGTCATCTACCGTGGTAGTGAAACCCTTAGTTTCTTCCTCCCTGCTGTCATCCGAGTTTCATTTTACCGTCGATTTTCAAAATAACCAGTGCAATTGATGTTGTCTCTGGCAAATGTGCGTCAAACTGACCGATGAGAGCAAAGTGGAAGGAGCAGTTCTTATTCTTTTTAGCTAATCTACAAGAATCAAGCTCCAAAACACGATTCTATGACCGGCGCATCTTACCCATTTGACAGCATATAAAAAGAACTACGCTTCACTAAGTGATTACATATTTTTTCCAACTCAGTGGACAGTTTGCCATACTACGATTTTAATTACTTTTATTGACTGATAACATAAAAAATTCAAGCAGAAGATTATTACTTAGATGCAAACAACTTAAGTAAATTCACTCCGATATCGATGGCCAAAGTGCAAAACCACGTATCTCCGTTTGCGAAGTTGCAGACTTTCCGTCCTTCCAGCAAAATATTCTGCAAAATTTGCAGTTATTTGATTTGCTCGGTTCTCGTCGAAAAAATTAAGTAGAAGCGGAAATTTTGAAACACCGCATGGAAGATACGTCATTTTGCACTTAAATTATCGATGTCCTGAAGGTTGTTTGTAACATTTACTCTCCCATTCCTGTAGACACTTCTTTTTCGAAGCATTTATAATTCCACGACATCTTTTATAACTGTGGGCTTTGGTGACTATGTGTTATATCTGGTTACTACTATATACTGTATAGCATCATAATTACTCCTTAATTGGGTAAAAGAAAACGTTGATGTTCTCCTTCATTAACTTTCCTTCAGTTAGGCACATTTGTTGTGTTTGAATTGTCAATTTTCTGTCTTGGCTAATGTATTTACATTCCTTCCCTTTCTTTTATTATTATTATTATTATTATTTGGCATTTTTTCGGCAATAAAATTATCTTCTTCACTATAAACATATTTTTATTCCGTGTCCAACATAAGGTGAAGGTTTAATTTCCTGCTTTTCACATTTTGAGAAATCCACCTTTATTTTAAACTTCCGAGTCAATCCGGCATATGATTAGTTTAAATTGTCATATTTGCGCACAAATTCGCCACTTTTTGGAAAAATTGTTGAAGAGCACCAACTCGGGCGGCCTGGAGCTGGCAAATTTTTTCAGTCACAATGGATCAGACCTAGGGCGACAAAAAACCAATTTTCAGCATGGCGACGGCAAAAAATTGTAATTATGTAGGGAAAAAATGGTTTAACAAGAATTTCGTGGAAAAATAAATTAATTTATTGTTTATTAATAATCCACACTATAATTTACGCAATAGCCATGATTGTTTATTTCACAGAATCTCACCACATTTAATAACAAAATTGAAAGCAATGTCTTCTCCAAACACTCAGACTGCCAGTTTTGTTGGCGGAGGCGAATCTGTATAGCAGATGAGGAAATTAGCTGCGATAGGATTCCCAATATCATACTTCTCGGCAAACCTTTCGGTATTGAATTTCGGTCGGACAGGGCTAAACACAGAAAATATTGAGTTAAAAAAGCTGCAATTCAGAACCCATTAAATGGAAACGGAACATAATTAGGATCTGAGTCATGTTGAGTGAGAGAATTGCATCAAGGTTTTGTAAAATTAATTAAAATAATTAATTTTTAACATGAATCTAATAATAGTCAGTATTCCTCAGATCTAATATAATTAGTGGTAATGGCGGGTGTCTTTAAAAAAGTCACGTTACTAGCTGAATATAAAAACAAAACAAAAATTAGTATTAATCTCACCTGCTTGCAAAAGCTTTTTCAGAGAAACTTATCGTGTGTCTCCAAGGCTGCTCATAAACCAAAAATACCATTCTATGATGACCTGTTTGGAGAGTGAGGTGAATTAAAATTAGCAAATATTGTTGGCAAATAGTCCAGTGTGTCCAGTGTTGTAGTTATTTGTCTGACCCTAGTTATGTAGCTTTCTGTAAATGGAACAACTTCTTTAGAAGGGGGAGGGGGCAATAGAAATTAATCTAAATGAACAAATCAAACTCTCAGTATACTTCATTGGAAACGTAGAATGTGTCTATTTCATGATATCAAATCGGGGAAACGTTTTCCCATCAGTTTTTTCTTCAGTCTCTTTCAGTACAATTTTCCAGGGGAGAATTTCGAACAAAATCCATTTTTATATCTCAAAAAATAAACCCACCGTATCCATAAGACGATCCAGGTCCTTGATAAGGTACCACCGTCTCTCCAGAAGTAATATTATATGCAGGTATATTAACCTGTATCCAGTGTACCCATTCACGTTCTGTATGATTTTTCTGCGTCGGAACATCAAGTCCTAAAAAAAAACACAGCATATCACTATTGGCTTTGAGTTGCAACCAAGTTTGCAAGCTGCTTAACTGCGCCTTCGATTAAAACAATGTTTTTCATAATATGACGACTAAACTTATTTGAATATGTTACGATGATTCTTAATGGGAATCTTACAAGAGACTTTGTCTTTGTAGCGCGGAGATAAACAAAAACAGCGTGTTAAAGTTCAGATGACATGAAAAAACTAGTGGCGTGGCGTGCTTTGCGATATATCGATTGATCTGTCATTTAAACCTATGGAAAAGGATCGATTAACAGGGTGTTCGCAGCGAACACCTTAATAATCGATTCTTTACCACGAATTCAAATGAGGAAATATCGATAATCGATAATTCACGCCACGTCACTGGAAAAAGCAAGAGGAGAAAAACGGGAATTATATGGCTAAAAATACACAATTAAACACTGAAACGTTTCGGCCTGTATTGTGTATTTATTTTAACGAGATAAACGTATGAGGAGTAGACACATACTCACCTACAACGATTAATGTGTGGAAGGCGTCTTCTCGACATGTATAGTGTATTGAAGTGGGTTCTAATCCCAAATCCTCCAGAGTAAACTCATTACCTACTGTGACTGATTTATTCCCATACATCATCTGGATTACATTCAAAACAGAGTAACGAGGTATTATAAAACATTTGCACATGATGTAAATTTTCTGGTCGATTATGGACTTAGGCCCATAAAAGAATCCAACCAAACATATTTGTCAATATAGAGTAGAGCAGTAGAGCATGTGATCAGGAATTAAGGTAGGCTGTAAATTAGTAAATTCACGTTACAATGCAAACTTACTCGTGTAATTAACTTGAATGTTACCCATATATGGACCGCGTTAAACAGAAGGGAACCAAGCCACATCAGCTATTGCCAAATTTTATCGGACGATTTAATTTTTTACATGAAAACGGTTGTGCGGATTTGTGTGCTTTCAGTGAATTTTCTCAATAATACAAAGCAAATTCCCTAAAATTTTCAAAGGAATCTGTATAGACGTTCTCTCGTAAGAAATGCAATTTCCCTGTGAAATTTGGCAATAGCTGATGTGGCTTGGTTCCTTTCTGTTTAACGCGGTCCATATAGTAACCGTAAAGACACGTACAGTAAAATGTTCAATACTTCAGTTAAAAGGCGATAACTTCATATTTCTCACCTGCTTTAAAATAGTTCTAATGTAATTTCTGACTAATCAAATAAGATCAACATGCTACATAAAAATGAATATAAAAAACAATATGTTTGGTCACCGTATTTTCCAAATTTTGTCAGATTTTGACTATATGGATAAAGTCGCTTTTATAGCGCTCTCTGGCACTCTGCGACTCCTAGCCGCCAAAGTCCCCTATCCTCCCAAAGCTCTTCAGGGAGTTCGCAAACCCTCATTTCTTCTAAAACCCCCTATCGCTACCCTTTCACTGGGCGTCCTTTTCGTCTCCTCCCAGGACATTTTGACAGTACATCGTCAAAATACGTATCCTTTCGATTCGGCTAATTGATTTATCAATACATCTCACAAGTTGACTTAAATCTTGTCCAATAAATACATAACTGAAATGTATCGAAGCAATTTTACAAAGGTGCTCACGTTAAGTACATAATCTGGGCCAATCCTGAGCAGATCTGGAATAATTAGGTGCTTCCGAAGTGAATCCTGGAGGTTTGGGAGAGGTGTGCTAACTAAGAGAGCATCCTGTTCCGTTGTTGGGGGTACGGAGACGCAACTAACTAGTGTCCAAAGTCCAAAAATCAAGGAGCTATCGTAAAGGTACATTCTTACTATCCACTCGAATATTTAGAATCAAAATGGCAACCATTCAATTAACAGGACGAGTGTTATAAACACAGTCGTCATAAGTTATTTTGCATTTTTTCATCATTATATATGTATTTGGGTTTGGAACGGTTTCCCTGCAAAATTTTTCTCATTGTTAAAATGGACCACTAGACAAGGTACAAATTTCAGCATTCTGATACACATTTCTTAACTAAAATTTCACGTAAAATACGACGCGCACAACGAAAATTGCCGAAATCAACTCTTTACGAAGATATTTAATGATTCCTGATGCGTGAATTCAAACCACCCGCTCATGAAAACTCAATGCTCTACGTGATTCACATTGCGCGCTAAACGTTTTCATGACAGTCTCTGCGATATAAAAAACTGGCAACCTCAATCTTGACGCTTTGGCTCAGCTGTAGCAAACTGCTTATAGTTCAAATTCCTCGTGACCAATGTGAAATAAAAACGTTAATATCTTCGTTTGGGGTTTGTTTCAATAGTTTTCGTTGCGCGAATCGTGCTCTACGTGAAATTCTGGTTAAGAAACGTGTATCAGAATGCTTAAATTCGTACCTTGTCTAGTGGTCCATTATGGATTTAATATTAATATCACTAATTGTATCCAAATGACGACAATTAGCCATGAGTCATTACTATTTAATATAAGGTTACTACCGAGGAGATTTGAAACGTATTCATGGGACTTTACGTGTATATTATGTCTTTAATTTGACTTAGTGTCCCTCCGAAATAGAAGAAAAACTTATTCTCGAATCTCAACCATACTTTCGCCTAAAATACTCAGAATTTAAGACTATAGGTAATTTAAACAAAAATCGTACCAATTAAATAATTTTATATCATAGTTGATGCCGTATGACTGAGCGAACACTTCATTGAGTTTCAATAGCTCAGTGGAGCTCCATTTGTATTATATTTTTGTAGTTCAAATTTACTGTAGGTGATCGGACTTAAACTTTTAGGATATGAAGCAAAATTTCCTGAATTGACTCAAAATCTTACCTAACTTTTATTATTTTTTTAAAAAAACTTAGTCACTTTGTTTAATTTTAATATTATTCGTGAGATCGTAGTTTAAAAATTGGTATCCTGCAAAGTTAGTGATGATTTCATGATGTAAAATTACTAACACTAATCATAATAAGAATGTGATGTGGGATTTCGATTAGCACTTGCCTGCCAGGTCACAACAGGGACGCAGAAAATTGCATTTAAAATATGTTATATTAAATGAAGTTACAAAGAATTCTCCTCCTACGAATCACTATGAATTATGCACGTTACCATCACAATGTTTGATTCTCAGTCGCATGTCAATTTACAAACCAAGAGGCAAGCAACGGTGATAGCATCTATTATATGTTATCTGGTTTTGATGCACATCAATAAAGTCGGTTGTCTAGACTCTACGATGGATTTGTGCATAAATGCATCGTCTCTGAAAAGGTTTAGGAGTCTCACAATCATAATATATTTATCTCTGTATACAGTGACGCTAACATTTACAAACCGCGAGTAGTACTACGAAGAGAGTATCCAACCATTATACTGTGACTATAGGAAGAGTGGAACTGCATACGAACACACTTGAGTGCAAAATTTATTTATAAAAAATTCATTGTTAGTGGAACGCGACGCGCAGGAAGAATGATGACGAGCCCAGCGTTAGGCTGCCTCAACCAAAACAAGCAACGCTGGCATCAAAAGTCAAGAACAGACGAGGAAAAAACATTTTCACCGCGATCGATTCGTGCGAACATGACTAATAACTTATACTCTTACGCTTGCGCACAGTTTGCGATTTCAGTGAGCAAATTGCCGCACCTGAAATCCACGCAGCACTGTTTCGATGGCTCTGTGGAGCTCAATATGTATACATTATATTTTTGTGGTTCAAATTTAGTGTAAGTGAAACTTTTAGGATATGCAGAAAAATTTCCAGTGTTCACTTAAAATCATAACTTTTATTATGTTTTAAAAAACTTGCATCACTTGGTTTAATTTAAACTTTATCCATAAGATCGTGGTTTAGAATGA